TCTTTAAGCTAATTAGCAGTGCCTTTAAGGTTTGACTTGATCTGAAAATCTTGTTACGACTAAAAATAAGTTTAAATTCAAGTGTTTATTGGATATTGAATAATCGGTTATTAATGGCATTTAAAGATGAACCATTTTGAGTGTCACATCTTTCATAAGCATTAATATGATGAAAAGGCTCTTCACGTCTGTAGATAATACATTTGTAAGCAATTTTCAGATCCTTTTCCCATTCAATCTTTAACCTCTTATTCTGGTTCTGGTTTAACCTCTCAACTGAAAATGGACTTATCAGAGTTGCTAAAATTGTAATGAATCAGTTATCAGTCGAATAACCAGATTTTGCTTTCAAATCATTTCTTGTAAACACAAGTTTGAATAAAATTGTTTCATTGCATCTACAATTGAAAGTCACATAATCTTGATGGAAACGCCTAAAGTCCTTTTATAAACATCAATGTTGAACATTTTTTTTGCACTTTTGCCGGTAAAAATGGCAAAATATCCTCTAAGTAACATCATTATTTAAAAGTGAAAAGTGCCTTTCAACTGCTTTTTACTGTCACATTTGTACTGTTTGTTTTAGTCTTCAAGGTAATTCAACTTTACATTTTTTGTCATTGACTCTATTCAAGATTTATGTTGAGTTAATGTTGCCAATTTTCTGGTTCTGGTGACATTGAAATTCAATTGGGTTCCATTCAAGATTCAGAGTTGCATAAATAGCTAAAGAAATGGATGAAACTTGAAATTATTTGCTTCTGAAACAATCTTCCATCAAACCAGTTGCACTTAATCAAGTTATTAAAATTATTCACTGGAAGCAGCAAACAAATTAAGACTAAAATTGAAAATTTAGTTTGTTTTCTTTCCTCTGATTCTTATTAGCATGAAATTTCCATGAAAGAAAAGATGAAATTAAACTAAACATAAATATCGCATAAAATGATAGCTAATAAAGTTATTCATGAAAAAAGATTGAAGAGAAATTGTTAAATATCGAAAAGAGGAAAATAATTGAAAATGCAAGTTGAAAGGCAAGTTGAAATGGTTAGTGATTGGAATAAATTTTATATGAAAAATGAGTTTCACCGAGAATGGAAACATTTGTTGGAATGAAGTGAAGAAAGTTCAAGATGAATATTCATCAAATGTGGGCGAGTTTAGGAAGGAAAGGAAAGGTTAAGAATGTTCAAGATTGTTGATGGCTTTTTGATTCGATGAAAAAAAAGCAACAAACTTTACTCAATTAGGTTTACATTTGTCTTGGCAACTTGAAGACTCTGATAATAATATCAAGAGTGGAAAAGGTTGAAATAATAAAATAACAGATTTTCTCGTTTCCTATCATTTTCCCTCCCAACTTCACTCCCAGTGCAACAGTAGAGTTAACCAGAAAGCAAACATTTATCACCTTTCCTTTAATTATTCATATTGATTTTTTCCAATTGTCTTTCCCTGATCATAACTGGTCAATTTAAATTGTCCACTTTAACACTTTATACTTCAATGAATGAGACTTGAATTTTAAACATTTTCCTCTCTTCTCTTTGCAAACCTTTTCCTTCTGTTTACCTCTTTGATTACAATTAATTTCAATGGAATTCAGCTCTTCATGATCGCTATTCACTTATTGTTTACATGTTTTACATACTAACGATATTTAATTAACTGGTTCAACTATTAATAGTTGTTGAACCAATTCTGATTAATTATGTTGATTGAAAACAACTGTGGAAATGGTGAAAGAAAACTTTCTTTTTTTTCATTTTCCTTTTTTTTCTGGTTAACCTTTTGGGTTATTTGGATTCTTCTCGTTTCGATGGGTTTTCTGGGTTTACCTGGTTTATCTGGTTTAATTGTGTTAATGGTCTAATGGCAGTAATTGTGTTTGATTGGTTTTCGGTTTTAACCCTGAAACTGTTTACTCATGTTATCATGAATATCATTTTTCGTTTGCTTTTCACGTTTTTGTAAACTTGTTAATCTGATTGATTGAAATGGGTTAACACGGTGAAAAGAGGATTAAAGGTTCAACTGGAAGGAATTAAAAAAAAGCAGATTAATGGCAATAATAGATGAAACTAATTCTTGGGATAATAAACAATAGAAAAGGATTAAATGACAATACTAATTGTTGGACTGTCAAGAGATTAAGATGTAAAACAAGATTTTTAGGTTAAAATGATTAATATTTTTCCCTGCAAATTCTTGGCTTTGTCAACATTCAGATGAACGAAAATCTATCGTTCTTGACTGAATGTTCATCTGGATGTTGAACATAAACTGCTAAGGGAAGCAGTTGGAGTAAATGGTTCAGTCTGGATTGGATCGATCAAGAGATTCTGTTGATCGATTAAACTATTCAATTTGCTGCTCATATTGATCTTAATCAACTTCATTTCATTTTTTCTCGTTTCATTGAATCTTTATTAAACCTTTTCATCAGATACTCTGGGTTGGGAGAATCAAGTGTTTTGGAATCTCATGGTTGATACATTTTGATTAGCGATTGTTGGTTGTTTTGCATTTTCTGGTTTCTGCTTTACATTTGGGTTTTAGCCTGTGATTAAGGTTTGAATAAACAGTTTGATTTGACATTCAGTTTGCAATTGAATTTAGCCTTTAGCTTTTTGAATTTTTTTCAGTTCAATAATAAATTTATTTTTAGCACTTTGTTTGTATGGCGAAACAAATTGAATGTTTAAACGAACACAAAATTCAACGATTTATTGGGTAAATAATTTTTGAAAATTACAATTGAAAGACACAAGTCGACATTATTTAAAGGACAAATTGTTTCAAATTGAAGCCAATTTGTCTTGATTTGGATGGGAAAAGACAAAAGGAAGAAAGAAATGAAACAATTTGCAGATTTGTATTTCAAGTTGGATTAAATGTTGGAGACAATTTGATTACAATCATTTCAAATTGATTTTGGTGCAAAAATTGGCTTGTTTCTGGGTTTTTATAGAGTAATAATGGAAACAAAGTTAACCATTAAAAAAAGATTTTCATTTTTTCTCTGCTTTTTTCACTTAATGTGAATTGTTTTGCTATTTATTTACAACAAACAAAAAAAGGTTCACTTTATTCATTGGTTATGCATTTAAATGGATACTTTTTCAGTGTTTATCCTGAAACATGATCAGTAAATTTTCTGGTAAGAATGAGAAGTTCTGACAGGAAAAGAGGTTAAGGTCGAAGGACGAAGATGATTATGAAGGGAAGCAAAAAAGGTCAACATGGTAAAGAGAATGAAAAAAAATGTTGAAAATTGAATGAAACCCGGGCAAAGTGGGTGGCAACATGAGGATGAGGAGAAGCGAAAAATCCTGGGAGAAATTCATGTTCGAATGTAGGTCACATGAGTTCGCTCAGTTTCACTGATTATTTGGTGGATAAAATGGATTTATGGATGAAGGCGAAGAGGAATCATGTTCATCATGATGATGATTACAGTAAAGATTAGATGGAGAAGTGATGTGAACGATAATCAGCAAAGAATCAGATTCATTTTCAAATGATAACAATTTGTCAACATCAATTAACTCATTCATTTTCATCATCATTTCCATGCTAATTTTGATGAACATTTTTTCCATTCTCTTTTCACTTCTTGCTTCTCCAAAATTTGCATTTTCACCTTTAATATCAAAATTGTTCACATTTTTTGCTTTCAAATTTTCTCTCAATTTTTCATTTTTTATCTTCTTTTCTGGTTCTTTTTTTTGTACAAAATTTCTGTTTCGCTTTGATCACCTTTTATCTTTTGACTTTAACCAGAATTTTGAGAGCTTTCGTTGGAACTTTCAATTTCCATAATTTGCAACATTTTCTCACATTTCTTCTTCTTTTTAACCATTTTTTCACTCAAAATTTGCCTTTTTTTGTCCAATTTTTTCCGTCGACTTTTTTGCTTCATGCTTTTTCATCTTCTCTTGATTTATCTGCAAGGATTTTCTTTACCATTTCATGATAATTTCCATGCAAATCATCTCTTTCATTCTCCATTTGCATAACTTTATCATAAAAATGTTGATAATTTTCCTTCTTTCCTTTTTTCTTGCTCATATTAACAATTGTTAATAAGCGCATCTTCATCAATGAATCAACATTATCATCTTTTATTGATTTTATTTATCTTCTTCTTATCATCTTGTTCCATTATTACTCATCTCACACTCGGTATAAGCAACTAACATTGTTTATTGTGCTCCTTGATTGTTACCCAAAATGATCTGTCAATAGTAATTTAATGTTATTGGCTTAACCGGTTTCCAGTTATAAAATCAGATTATATTGATAGCAGTCATTTTCATCTGTATTATTGCTTCCTATTCAAGCCATTTTTTTGTTACTCTTAACATTAGTTGGACTCACATCTCATTATTGTCACCTTTTAGTCATCAAATTTATCCCAAATCAATCTGATTCTGATTAATAGTGATTGTTAATTACAATAATAACCGTTGCTCTGGTTTTGTTTTATGTTTTGCCTCCGTTTTTTAATGGGTAACATTTCCATAGCCAGATGGGGACACATTTGAATTTACAATAAGCTTTTTTTTAGCTTTTCATTTCGTCTGTTTATTTGACAGTTAATAGTGACATTAATCGTAAACTGTGTAAATTAACTATTTTATGGATTTACAAAAAAAGAAGTCAAGTCATGTAAGTAATCAACAAGTCAACTAATTAAGAATAATAACAATCAAACGTGAAACTGTTTACTGATTTGGTAAACAATTAATTGCTGTGTGTGTGTGTTTGTTGACTTGCATAAGTTTTGTCTTTATGCTTAATCCAACTACAGATTTACTAAGTCTTAAGACATTGCAATTGTCACTTTTCTCCACTTAATCGAAATTGTATGTCTCTTTATTTTCTGGTGGATTAATGATGATGAAGATTGTAATTAGAATGTCCAATGTTTAAGGTAACAATGGGTACAGGTGTAAGAGGTAGAATGAGCGGTAAAGTGAAAAGATTTTACTTACTCTCGATGCCATTCATAAATTGCTTCAATGTTACCGAAAATAATCTTGTCTTTCCCATTTTTCAGGTCTTCTGGAACTGGTGGATCATCCTTTCTCATTGTTTCCATATAACCTTCGACAACTAAACCCAAATCTTTGACATAATCACGCTCAGTGTCAACCAATTCCTTCAAAGCGTAATTGCGCTTAGTCAAAGCTTTTTCACGTTCACTGGCAACTTCGTTTTCTTTGGTTGATACATTTTCACCAATATTACCTTCATTCCTAGTGGTTTCACTATTATTATTTGAATCTTTTCCTGTTGGTTGGTTTTGATTTAATTCACTTGGATCTGTAATGGTTGATGCTGTAGTCAGAGATGAACCTGTAACGGTTGAGGTTGGAGTTGTTGAAGTAGGATTTAACTTTGATTGTTGATCAATTTTTGTTGATTCTGTTGCCGTTGTTGCTGTATGTGATGATGATTCTTGATGGACAGAAGATGAAGCTGTTGAACTTTCTATGGATCCAGTCAAGTTAGGTTCAGTTTGTCTGGTTGTTGAAGGTAAGTTTGAAGACGAAACCTTTTCCTTACTATCATTACTTGTTTGACCTGAAACTGATATCGAATCACTTACAATTTCAGGTAATTTCACTAATAATCCAAATGGATTCAATGGTTCACATTCACTTTTCACTTCACTATTTTCACCAACTGTTGTTGATCCTAAATTACCTGTTATACTTGGATCTGGAGTAACGGGAAGTTTACCTCCAACATTAACCAATACTTCGGGACATGGAAGGTCAAGTGATTTTGATTTATGGGCGGATGTTAATAGACTTGTTGATCTATCAGATGATGTTGTTACGCTTGTCAGTGTTGTCACTCCAATTGACAGGCAACCAGAAGATTTAATCACTAAACTGGACTCATCTTTGGATACAGATGAAGATGATGATGAGCTTGTTTTCCCATCATCTTTCTGCAAACAAAAAGAAGAGAAAGCAAATCAAATCAACAAATTGTTCAACAATCAAAACTCATAAAGTTAACATGGGATTCAAATTTGAAAGATTCACACAATTTCCACTTTTCATCTTGATGTTCTGAAATTTCATCCAAAAAATGATCAAGAAAAGCGGATAAAAACGAAAAAAACTGAAAGAGGAAAAGAAAATTTCTTTTAAGGTTGGATGAAAGGTTTAAGATGAAGTTGATTGGCTCCAAATTGACACTCATTTTGTCACTCACTGAATGATGATGATTATGATTAAGGTGGAAACAAATTGATTGATAAAGTGTGAAAACAATCAAATGGATCAACTTGGTAAACTTGAAAGACTTTTAATCACTTGATACACTGTCATTAACACTGATCCTGATGAAAAGTAAACTAAAAATGATTGATTAAAAGTCATTTTTATTTTGTAACAATTACTCCGTAAAATTCATCACTGAAAACATGATAAAAGTAGAAGACTTGATTAACCCTTGAAAAACACGGATTGATTACAATTGAATAATTTTCAATAAAAATTAACCAACCAAATTGAAAAGTTGAATTGAACTGGAAAGCTCAATTTAAAGGATAAAGGCAAAAGCAAATTTGTATCGATCCCAATGTCAATATTGATGATGATTGAGCTAATTAAATTAATTAGACTCTTGAAATATTCAATCGATAGACATGATTATTGTTAACAAGAGGCGATTCCCTTGATCATTAATTTACAGTTTAACGGTTAAAACGGTTATCCATAATGATCATTGAAAATGGCTAAGAAACATCTCAATTGAAAAAAGTAAAAAAAAGCCGAGTAAAGGTAAAGAAATGATTTACTTGATAGTAATGATGTTGACATGAATGAAACATTCTGACATTTTCAATTCACATGAGATTTATCATTGAATCTTCATCTTGATCAGTTTTGCTTGCAATTTATTAAATCACAATTATGGTCAAATGATGAACCAAAATTGTGTTAATCATGAGTCTAATGATGAAATGGTTTCCATCAACTATGACAAATATCAAAAGCTATTTTTAGGTTCACTTTTTTTTGTGTTTCTCCTTCCTCCATGTTATAAGGAATTATCTGTTTCAACTTCATTTTTATCTTCATCTTTACTTTTCCCTGTTAATACAAGTCTTGCTTTAAAAACATGATTTGGTCTTTTCTGGTTCACTATTGGGTTCACTCCGAGAAATACAATAACAATACATTTGATTGTAACTCTTTTTAATCAATAATTTGTATCACTGTTGGCAATTGTTTCTTAAACCATGTAATGATTAACAGCTAAGATTGAGTTCAATTTGTTCGCCCAGGTTCATGAGGTTATAAAAAGGGAAAACAATTGAAAGCTAAATTGTTATGAATATGAATATTGTTATGAATTATAATTAGCTTTGCCTTTTTCCGTCAATTTCAAGGTTTGTTTTGTTAACAATTTTTTTCTCCTCCAAAGTTGTTGAGCTAAAAAAGATGATAAAATGAAAGGAAGAAGAAGAAAAAACTCCCACAGAATTTCACTTTTCACCTCATTATTTAGTGAAATTATTTTCTTTCAAATGGAAACTCAAAAAAGATGAAATATTTTTCCAAAAAATTTCAAGATTAGGTTGAAAGATAGCTTGTAATATCATGTACAAGAAACACTATCAAGTTAACAAGTGGCTCAATTGAAACAATAGCTCATCATTAACATTGTCTTCCAAATGATAATTCAATTGAACACTTTTATCCATTTTCATCTCAGTTTTCATCAGAACCATTCTTTACTTCAATTGCTTCAATTCATCATTTTTGCTCCATTTTTCCTTCTTTTTCATTTTTTTCTCAAATTTTCCAAATCTTTGAAAGTCTTTGCCTTTATTTTGCGTTATTTTTGTCAATATTTAACCCGATTTTTTTCTGGTTTTTTGCAGCTTTTTTTATTTTTAAAATTTTCTAGTTTCTCTGTTTTTTTCAAATGAATTATCGCTTCCTGATTTCAACAGAATTCAACTTCTTTTTCATCTGAATTTCTCTATAATTATCTCTTGTTTCTCGAAAGCTTACTCTTCATAATCATTCTTATAGTTATCAGAATTTTGGGTTTCTTCATAACTTTCATCATTAATTTCTTGTCTTCATTTTCATCTCATCATTATCTTTGAACGTATTTTTATCGAAATTTTCAGCAAAATAATTCTGGAATTGATTGAACATTTAAAGGAAAATCTGTGGAAAAATTTTCCACGAAATTGGACAAAATTTTTCATCTCAATAGTCATTTCCATTAAAAAAGCAGATTCTTTATTCCCTTTGCCATCGATAGCATTCAATGTTTTCTCGATTTTGTTCATTCCATTTGTCATTTTATCGAAACTTTATCCACTTTTCAGTCGTCCTCTTCATTACCATTTTCATCATTGAAATGTTAATTCGGTAAATAATTGATTCCATTATAATTTGGGTTTCATTATTTGCTCTCGTTCAATGGTTAACTTGCAATCAATTTTCTGGTTTCTTTGGTTTACTCTTTTAACCCTAAAGGCCTCTCTATCGTCACTAATCATTTTGAATCATCATTAACATCATCACAATCAATTGTCTATGTTTAGAAACTGTCAAGACAATTAAATTGATTGCATTTCAAGTTGATTACATAATTGTTTATTCTTGTATCTATTATTCATTGTAACATTAATTTTGATATTGATTCTCATTCTCTTTCTAACCTTTCACTTATTCAATAATCTTATTAAAATCATATCACAACCACCATCAACAAGCTAATATTTTTACACACTCATTCAGATTAAGATGATTGTAATTAGGTTCACTGATTGTTCCAGTCAACGATAATTACAAAAGCTATAAAATTATAACAATAATTGTCAAAAGTAGTTTCACACTTTTCAATCAAAAGTAATGAAAGTGTCTAGAGATTGTCTCATTTTCCCATTGAGAACCCATTTTTTGACCCATAATCTGTCATTTAATGCAAAATTACCAGAAAAAAAGAGAAGACAATTAACTTAATCAATATTATCAGGTTCAACTTGATTCTTGGAGAAGCTGTTTCTCAAAGTTAATAATGTAATATAAATATCATCTAATTGCACTGTTAAATGTCACCTTAATCAAGATTAATAAATGAATTTTAATGGTTCACTTTGGTGTAAACAGATTCAAGATTACACTTGGAAACAATAAGGTTTACTTGGGTTTAGACTTAGGATTAAAGATTCACTTAAATGGGTTTATATTGCCTCAAACCATACGGTTGTTGGGATTAGACAATTGTGATTAACTTACCTGTTTTTTGAATATTTGATTGTAAATTTTCTTCATTTGTCATGTAGATGATTAAGATTGTTTACTTGGTTTTTGGTAATTCAATATCGGGTTAGAGCAACTTTCAATTTCGCATTTCAAACACCAATTTCAAACATGGAAAACAATGAAACTTTGATCACACAAACATTGATTGTTGATTGAATTACTTGGTAAACAAAAATTTGTTACAATCAATTTAAACTCTATTTATATATTTATATTAATCATTAAGGAAATATTGACAAAAATTTGATGTATTAAGGTGAGATTTACGTTTTGTTAATCCAATGAGTGTCACTTTAGACTTTGTTGTTGTTGTTGATGATGTTGTTTGTGTTGCATTTCATTTTGTTTGATCATTGAAATGGCTGTGAAATTGATTTGATCATTAGGTATAAATTGTAATCATATAAACTGTTTAATAACATTGTCTGGGTTAACTGGTTAAGGATTAACAATTAAAGGTATAAAATTTAAGATACAAATTAGATTGAGTTGAAATGAAAAGAGGCAATAAGAAAGATGTTCAAGATGAAATGGTAAAGGGAAAGATGAGAAAGTGTGAGACATTGAAAGAGATGGAAGATTGTGAGGGAATGAAGATAAAGACGCATGAGATTCAGTATGAAATGAACAGAGCAGAAGCTGATGATAATGATAGAAACCAATTGCAATGCCAATGCTAATAATAGTCAAAATGACAATTGAACTTTTCTTTTGTATAGTGAATCAATTAGTGTTTATTTTCATAGTCATTCAATCATGCCTTTTTTATATATAAAAACACTGCAAGCTATCATTGAATCTGATTAGTTGATATAATTCAATTTAAAACTCTATTCTTTAAATAATTTTGATCTCACTAATCATCTAAATTAAGGATAAAGATGATTAGTAAACCCAAGTTACCAGGTCAAGAGCGGCACATCAAGATACCAAGTTTCATTGAGCACCTTACAGATAGCCTTAACTTACCTTTTTCAGTTTCACTTTAGACATTTTCTTTATTGGATATTTCCAGTCATCTTGTAGTTGGTTTATTTATCCGGATAAAGAGTTTAAAGTTTAGAGTTTAGAGGCATTTTGTTTTAGGGCAAAGGGTTTAAGGGCAAAGATGTTTGTTTTTAATCTTTTTGGTCAAACTTAAACTGTTTAAATTTCAAGCCCGGCTTAGGATAAAGGTTGACAAATAGCTTTTAGTTATAGGTAAAAGTGTGGTATTTAGTCTTGTTTACCACTCCTTCTGCGTAGAGCCATCTATTGGTGGGCCGATGATAATCGGCTTAAGTCAATTCTGTGGGCTGTCTTTTTGTCGACGGTCAATGTTTATTATCTCCGAGAAGTAGATAGCACTCTTCATTCAACTGTCAACTCTTGATGAGAGGTCTTCGAATTTTGACCAATTTGATCTATTTTAACTCTTGTGTACGTTAATGAAGTGATCTTGAACCTTGTGTTTGTATATACTGCCTTTATTCACTGTACATCTATCCACCATCCAAAGGCGGCGCCTTACAAGCTGTCTATCCTTTAATTTAGTAATAACAACAACATAACAACAAATTTTCTCTGTGTCTCCGATTTATACATTATATACAGTGATAATGAGTCAATCAAATGATTCAAATTCTAGTGGGTATCCCGGTGTTTCAGCACCCATCAGCACTGCTCATCCTAAGGAAGCTGATTTGAAGTTGACACAAAAATTGGTTGAGTGTCTTTCTAGTTTTGATCTATTTGAATCTGAAAGTGAAATGATCCATAGGATGAATATGTTGAGCCAAATCAATGAATTGGTGCAAAAGTGGATCCGTGATGCTAGTGAAACTAAATTGGTTGGCAATGAATCTGCCCAACGTATGAATGGTAAAATATTTACCTTTGGTTCTTTCAGACTTGGTGTCCATACTAAAGGTGCTGACATTGACACCTTATTAGTTGCTCCGCGCCATATCGACCGTACCGACTTCTTCAAAACATTTGCTACTGAAATTTCACAATTACAGAATGTTGAATATGTGAGAAAGATAGAGGACGCATTTGTTCCTGTTATTAAGACAAAGATCGATGGAATTGAATTCGATATTCTGTTTGCCCGTTTGGCTCTTAAAAATATCCCCGAAGACCAAGATCTTAAAAGTAACGAACTTCTAAGGAATTTAGAACCTAAATGTGTCCGATCTCTCAATGGATGCAGAGTAACAGACGAAATCTTGTCTTTGGTACCCAATCATGAAGCATTCAAATTGAGTCTACGTGCTATAAAGTTGTGGGCTAAAAGACGAGGAATATATTCTAATGCACTTGGATATCTAGGTAAGTGTTACTTTCAATTTTTACTCTATACTCTTTTCTTATTTTTGTGTTTCTGTTTACTTATATTCGTTTCTTTTCTTTTCTCAGGTGGTGTTTCTTGGGCTATGTTAGTCGCTCGTACTTGTCAATTATATCCACATGCTTGTGCATCAACAATTGTACATAAGTTTTTCCTGATCTTCAGTAAATGGCCATGGCCAAAACCAGTGCTTCTCCGTGCTTTGGAAGAAGACAAAACAAATTTAGGATTTCCAGTTTGGGATCCTAGAATTAACGTGAATGACAGGTATCATTTGATGCCAATTATCACTCCATCATACCCACAACAGAATTCTACCTTCAATGTGACACAATCCACTAAAACGATCATGTTGGAGGAATTTAATCACGCATTAGCAATCTGTGACAAAATCTCTCAAGGTAAGTTTACTATTTATTTCAATCTTAGAAATTGTTCATATTACTAATGATTAATCTTTTTGTTTGATAGGTTCAGCAGATTGGAAAGATCTATTCAAAACGAGTACCTTTTTCTCGAAATATAAGCACTTCTTGGTTCTAATTTGTGAATCCAAACCAGAATGGATTGGCCTCGTCGAATCAAAAATTAGACATCTTGGTAAGTACAATTTTTCATTATTCTAACCATCAATATCTTGAATTTTGTTATCTAACATTATTTTACATTTTTCTTCAACAGTTTCAAATCTTGAACGACACCGATGTATTAAATTAGCCCATGTCAATCCCAATTCGTATATACAAGAAACCATGGTAGAAGAAAACGCAGAACCAGATACTTACTGGTTCGTTGGACTTTGCTGTGACAAAGCAGAGGGAATGCATATTGACTTGACTGCTGACATCAGAACATTTTTAAATACAGGTAAGTTTTCTTTGCTTATTTACACTATTTAAATCAAATTTGTTTAACCATTTACTAACTTTATCTCTTTTTTTCATTCAACAGTTAGGCAAACGGCTGCTACAAAATTCCCAACAGAATACAGACTCGAATTTAAATATGTCAAGAAGAAGGAACTTGTAAGTTACTTACCAGCTCATGTATTCAAGCAAGAAATAAGCAATGTAAGTATAAACTATATTTCATTTTTTAACACATCAAAACTTATTCCTAAACCATTTTAGATCATTAAACTAACATCTTTTCTTATTTTTTTCAGCAGGAAAAAGGAACAAAACGTAAACTCGAAGAAGACAATTCCAAACCAATTCGAGCGAAAAGAACACCCTCTCCAAATCAAGAACCTTCTTCCCAATTAACTTCATAAATGTCTTTTTTATAATAAACTTCTTATTTGTAATTTTGTAACCTGTGCTTGTGATTTGTTTTTCGAACAAGCTTTCTTGTTGGTTTCTCTTTAAACCTAATTTCCTGTTTAATCTCAATAAAGACGCATTATTTAGACAAATAAATGGCCAAATTATTCATTTTCGGTTTTCAATAAGAAAATATACAGATATATCATATGATATGTGGATGAAAAATAAACTCGTGAATCTAAATCTTGTAATCTATTAGTCAAGATACCAAAATTATCCCTTGCAAAAATATCTAACAATAAAGAGTATTAATAAATACCAATAGTGAATAAGGTATTCATTTTAGCATTGTATCTACATTACGAGCTATTCAATTCACTTAAAGCGGGTTATGGTTATAATAATCAATACTTTTATTCAATAATCAATGACTGAATTTCAAAAATAATCTATATTTAAATACTTTTCGAATCAGTGGTGGAATTCATCAATAATTGCTAACTTTTTGGTAAATTGTTTCTTTGATTAACCTCGAAAAGTAAGAGATAAATGAAAAGGGTTCATATTTTTGTTCTAAGGTAGAGCTAGTGTAGACTGTACCTGATTGGGTAAAATTAAAAAATAAAATTTTTAACTAATAAGAGATTAGGTGAACAAATGTCAATTTGAGTTAAATCATTTGATTAACGATAAATATTAATATGCCTCCGACTCATCTATCAATCATCTTCGAAAAATTTAAATATTTGTTATCTTTTTGAAGTGTTATTGTTTAATTGGGCTACTTCGAAATCGGGCCACATTGGATTATCAGTAGCTAATTAACTTACACTCATCTATAGAATCTCTTATCTGGCTTGTAACATTGCCATTTTTGCTGCACCATCAGTGAAAATCAATGTCTCAACAAAATAATAAAACTGCAAAAACTCCGACTAAAAAGCCACCAGCTACTAAACCAAAGCCAAAGCTCGTTCCAACTCAAAACAATGTCAACAAAGACCCGGTTGAAGTCTATTGTAGACTTCGTCCTATCAAAAACAATAGCGACTTTGTCTGTATTAAAAGGTTAAATGATAATACTCTTCAGTTGATGTCATTTGGCAATAACAAGCTAGAATCATTTTATACTTTTAAATATGTGTTTCCTGAGACGACGAGCCAGAGTGAAGTATTTCATCGTATTGGTTTACCCCTCATCAAAAATCTCATCAACGGAAAAAATAGTAAGTTGTTACGGTTCTCATATTCTTAGCGCTTCTAATTTTGTTTTTATTGTCTAAAGGTCTTTTATTTACATATGGTATCACCTCATCTGGTAAAACTTTCACGGTCACTGGTAGTTCTCATAAATGTGGACTTCTTCCTAGAACTTTGGACGTCTTATTCAATAGTATTGAAGGAAACTTGTCTAGAAAATTCGTTTTTAAACCTGATGGTCAAAATAGTTTTGATATACAATCGACACCTGATGCGTTACTGGAATGGCAGAGAGAAAAGCAAGTAGCTCGAACTCCTTCATCTTTTGGTAGTACGCCTAAAGTAAAGAAAAGAGAACAAGATGACTTGCAAGAATGGGAACAACGAGACCGAGATGATACAATCGTTGACATTGAAGTGAAGGGAAACGCATTTGCTGTGTTTGTGTCTTATGTGGAAATTTACAACAATTATATTTATGATTTGCTGGATGATGATGTTATGCTTGATCCTTTTAAAATGAAGCAACCTCAATCAAAAGTCTTACGAGAAGATAAAAAGCGTCGCGTTTTTGTTTATGGAGCCAATGAAACTGAAGTTAGATCCTCAGATGAAGCTTTTGACCTTTTTATCAAAGGTACACGACGACGACGTATGGCTCACACTGCTTTGAACACTGAATCAAGTCGCAGTCACTCTGTTTTCAATATAAGGGTTGTTCAAGCTCCAACCGATGCAGAAGGTGAGGTGATTAAAGACGAAAAGTTTATGACTGTAAGTCAGCTTTCTCTGGTCGATCTTGCTGGAAGTGAAAGGACACAGCGCACCCAAACTACAGGAGAAAGATTGCGAGAAGCAGGGAATATAAACAATTCGTTGATGGCATTGCGAACATGTATTGATTTATTGAGAGAAAATCAAAAGTTTGGCGCCAACAAAATAGTGCCTTATCGAGATAATAAGTTAACTCACCTTTTCAAGAGCTACTTTGAAGGCGAAGGTAGAATCAAAATGATAATTTGTGTAAATCCTGGATCAGAAGATTTTGATGAAACTCTGGTAAGCTCTTCTTCATCTTTACGGTAATTGCGATTTTAATTATAATATCATTCTAACTAACCTTTTTTTCTATCATTTAATTATTCTTTAGCATGTAATGAAGTTTGCTGAGACGACTCAAGAAGTTCTCATCAATCGAGCCAATGATATGCCATTCCATATGAGGATACCTCGTCCGTCCTGTTATCAGTCCAAATTCATCTCGTTTCCTCGCCTGGAAACTCAATGCAATGAATTTGTTGGACCCATTTTACCAACCTTTGATGTAAGCTAATAATTAAAAAATTCATGTTAAATGTTTAGTTCATATTTGATAATTTGGTAACCATTTTTTCTTATAGAAAATCGACTGGAAAGATTCATCACAATTGACCGACTTGATCAACATTTTAGAGCAGCGTAAACAAAATGAACTTAGACATTACGAGCGCATGAAACAAGAGCGTAAGTTTTTTAGATTGATTTATGTTTATTATTTTACTAAATGTTTTGATTCTGTTTCCATTTCAATAGATCTTTTATTTCGAGAAAAAGTCGCCTCAGCTGAAAGTGAAAACATGCTTAGTAGACAACAACTTGCTGTTTTACGAAATGATTTGGAAGTACGTGAGAATCAAATAAAGGCTTTGGAATCAAAATGTGCTCAATATGAGGATGGACAGGATGAATATTGCCGGAAAATTTACAGTCTGGAGAAAGCAATCAAAGAAAAGGAATGGCAACTTGAAAGTAAAATTCGAGCCTTACAGCATGCCACCAATGAACAGGAGCGAAACCGAGCCCAATTGGAAGAAAGGTTGGAAAAAGAGAAAGAACGATTAAAACGAGTATTCAATCGAGTTTTGGAGGAAAAGAAAGCTCAACTTGAACGTGAATTATGTTTGACAAATGAAAAGATGCATCTTGTTAAAGATATTTTAACAGCAAATAACACTGATTTAGGTTTCTTCCGAGATTATCTAGAAAATCTATATCCTAGAGTTCACCCTGTTGCCCCAGTACATCCAGCTCAGAGTAGATATAGTTCATGCAATTAGAAATCTTAACTCATTGGTTTCATCATCTGAAAACAATAAATTCAATTTTTAAACACAACTTTTATCTTCCTTTTTCTTTTCTCTTACTTTTCCTTCTTTCTTTCCTGTCTTTATGCTCTTTTCCTTTCTTCTCACAGAGACAAAGGTGTGAGATAACCGATTCAAAATGTTAGGCTTCAACCTCGATCTTGCTATTTGTCAGGCTCTGTCTGTTGCTTTTCCCCCTCTTTTTTTCACTTCTCTCCTTTACTCTCTCTCTCTCTCTTGTTTTCCCTCTCGCTCTCTCGACCCTTCTCCCCTCTTCTTGATCTCTTTGCTAGTCTCTTTCTAACTGTCTGACCTCGCAATGGTTACTAAAATGTTAAATTGTGTTGAGCGGTTTATTGATTAGTTGTTCATTGCTAGGTTAACTTTGGCCAAATCAAACTGAAAACGAGTTTATTTTGTATTTTATTTTCCTTTATTTCTCCATAAGTTCTGATGTAACTAAGTTCAATTAATTTTTTATCAATATTCTACCTAATTTTCTGTTCTATTACCACCTCATCAACATCATTATTCTCTCCATTTAATACATTTTTCGATTGACCATTTTGTGTCATCGATTGAAAATGGATTCCATGTTTTGTAAGCCTGATAATTGGACATGGAGTTGTAAAGCAAGATCTAAAGAGGTAAGTGAATTTATTTAATTTTTTTACGTTCTTTTGTCAACTGAAAGATTCGTCATTATTCGCCAATTTCATTTTCCTTTTATTTTAGGTTAGAATATTTGGTAAAGAAAGGCGTAGAATCATATTTCATCCTCATTGGAGTAATGGAACTGCTGGAGTCAGAGGTAATAGAGTTCTTAATAGTGGCAGACAAGAATGCATCTATTGGGAGGTAAGTTTCATTTCTCATTAAACACTATTAATGATTTATGTCATATGGTTGCCAGTCAAATCTCTAATGACATTTTAAGCTTTGATCCATTTTAAAATTATTGGGTATCAAATTCATTTCTCCTGTTAACCTTGATATCTAATCTAAACCATATAATTAGAAATCTTCAAACCAAATGGTTATTGATTTTTGTTATTCAGTGGATAAATATTTACTTCTTTTCTACAATTGATTAGGTTCGTTTACCAGATCGAGTTTTTGGAACCAGTATGATGTTTGGAATAGGAACTGCGCGAAGTCGTCTTCAAGCAAGCATATTTACAAACTTAATTGGTGAAGATGACCAATCATGGGGACTTTCACATAAAGGATTAATTTGGCATAATGGTGTGTCAACTAAATTTTGTAGACCATTCCGTGAAAATATAAAAACAACTATTGGATTACTGTACGATTCTTGTCAAGGAACATTGACATATTATAAAGACGGAGTGAAATTAGGAGTCGCTTTTAGAGGGCTTAATCAAGTCTCTTGTCCACTATATCCCTTAGTAACGTCTACTGCCGCCAAAACCGTAATGATTCTGTGTAATCTCAAAGTGGCCTATTATTGTTCAACACTTAAGGAAAGGTATGTTCACATTATTTTCCAATTTAAACCTAATCGATTGAATATCAATCGTTTATGAGAGTCAAAAGATCAGTTAATGAACAAACCCAGTCAAACCCTACCTTTGCAAAGAGAAGCTGAATTGTTATGTAAAAAGGATAATTATTAAAAGGTAAAAGTTGAAAGGTTTCCCTGTGAGAAAATGTAAAAAGAACATTTTATAAGCATTTCAGATGATTAGCCAAACATACGAAAAGACAAAGAACGTATAAATTGTACATTAATTGGTTGTCATGGTTTCGATTATGTAACACAGCATTAATCCAAATCAAATGGAAACGCAGAAGTACATAAAAGTGAGCAAATAAAAGCGAGGATTACAGTGATGAGGAAAATAAACTAAAGGAGGGAAAAGTTTACCTAGCATGTTTAGGTTTTTATCCATAAAGTACAGAGTTACCAGTATCTAGCGATTTTAGATTATCCATTATAATTTTGTTCCCCTCGCGACAAGCGGAAAGGAAATGAGGGTGATGTGGATGATGAGGATGATCAAGCTTGAAGATGATAAAAAAAAGATGAGACAGATGGTTAATCACAATAGGCACGAGGTGAGATGAACACAAACCCGATATGATCCGATTGTTAAGGCCAGGGTCAAACCAGTGGGTCAAAAAGATGTTTCCATTGAAAAGCATAAAAAAACCTAACCATTTACTGTGACTCGTGCCTTCAACTTTCATTAATCGTAATATTTTCCCCCATCTCTGGTAATACATTATTAAACATTCCGATAGAGTAAACTTTACCCTTGATCGAAGCTACTCTTCGTCTGGTATCATCAATTTTAATTATAACCTGGAGGTAACATCTTTTGTTTTATGCTAACCAGCAAAATGTTAATAATAGGCATCAAGGTTAACACAAGAACGAGTTTTACCAGCCAATTTTACTTCCCAAGTACATTTTGCTCATTGGTAACCTTCGATCTGTGACCTTTACTCTTTAAACAGTTACCTTTTAAATAATTCATCTTTTCTTTGAATCTTTCGTCTGTCCTACTAACTCCATTCATTGACTTGAATTTAAATATTAATATATTTTCTCTTCTCTTTTTTTAGATGTCGATTTGTCATTTTAAAAAGTTTATCCAAATCACAAGACATTGCTCAATTACCGTTACCAATTCAATTACGTGAATACCTTAATCACCAGTCGGAATTAAATAATAATGTTAATAATAATAATGTTCACACTGACAATCAATCACCTTTAATTGAGCCAGAACTTAATGACGTGGACATGGATGAACCAAGGCATTTGCGTGAAATAAATGAAAACATTTTGATCAGAATTTATCCAATGCCTGACCAATGGTCTCCTTCGCAATTACAAGATCACCGGTTAGTTATCAATTAATATCATCATCTATATTAAAACCATCAATTCTACACTCATCATTGGAAAAGATAATTTCCACCATGACAAAGCTACAAACCAAAGTATTCAAAGTCTAATTCAAACCCATGTTGCGTGAAAACGACCAAATGGGATTCATCATTGACTTCAACCATTCCCGATATCATTTCTTGTAATTTGTTAGTAATCTTATAATTATTCTTTCATAATCAAATTGTCACAAAGTGAAGTGTACAATGCAACTTAAATTTCTACTGATCAACTACCGACCCCCCAAATTGTACTCCTTTTTAATTTATTTTTAGTTATTCGTCAATTACCCTACCATTCATCAACAACGTGATTTTACAATTGTGAAAGAAAGAAAAAAGATTTCCCTTTATCATCAAATCCAAGGGTTAATTGTGATTTGTTGATAATTTGATAATCTAGGTTTTTTTTCTTGGATGAGGTGTAATCTAGTCAATGAAATCATCTCCAATGACAATTACCATTGAAACATTTGTACTATTTTTAATTATTCACAACATAATTAAATAACCTTATTATTACATATTATATTATGTAATCATAATATAATAAATTGTCAAATTAAATACATAAATGAAAATAAAATTTGTTTCATAGAACATAAATGTTGCACCGAAAATTGATTGTTGAAAATACAAAGTCATCAATGAAGATCAAAGGAAAGAATCAACTCGAGAGTCTCTTGATTCTACTTTAGCATTCTATCAATTGATTAGATTTTCTCCATTAAATTATGGTTAATGAAACTTGTATTAATCTTATTATGTTTAACTTCCAAGTTTGAATATAAAACACTTAATTTACACCTGAATTTTATATTAAATGATAGTATCAATAAAATCAGTTCAGAAAAAAAACAACCATTTTCCCTGAGATAATGTTAAATAATAGGAGCAATTAAGATATCTCAATAACAATGTGATCAAGTTTAATCGAGTACAGAGATAAAATGTTCTTTTAATTATTTATTTATATCAAAAATGATACACGAGTCATTAAAAATGGTCAAGATTTGTAGATAATTCATGATTATAATGTTGAATTGTTTTATTATTGATCAAGGTGAAGATATAAATAAAATTGCAAAATTAATTACAATGAAAAACCTTGAATATTAATCAATATATTTAGGCATTTGGTTATGTCGCTCGATTCGTCTCAGTGTCAGATGTTATCAATAAAACCAGGGAAACTGACACAATATGTAAACATTAACATTTATTTGGTTTGTTATTTGTGTTGATGTTAACCATTATTCAAAAAATTGATCATTAGTGAATTTGTAATTATCATTATCATCTTACAATACATTTCCAGTGCACAGTGGATATCAATTTAGATGGATTACGTTATTCTTAAGAAATACGGTGAAGTGTTGGGGAAATAATTTGCAAGTCAAGAAAGCAAACCAGATGAGAACAAAGAAGGAAAAAAGAATCAGGTAAATCTTATTGTAAATGTTTACGGAGTAAGCTTTAATTAATAATACATTATCTAAATCATCTTCAAAAATATCTTTAACATCTTCAATCTTCACAGTTTAATCCCTTTTCTCTTCTGGTTTATTTCCTTAGAACTCTCTAACGTAAACATTGTACACCCTGTTTACCGGAAGGTTGTTGGCTTCAGTCTGAGGGTTTCATTTCATCATTTCTTTGCGCTGATATTTAATGGTTATCGTTGGTGGTGACCAAGATTCACCCATACAGTTATTGGTGACTTTTTCTGGTTCAACCATGTAATGCTTTCACCTCTGGTTATATTTGGTGTCTATACTGGTTTCTTTGGGTAAACCTATTCTGGAAAAGCCTACAATTGCTCTACTTATGATTGCTCTATTTATTTGAAACTTGCAATTTTGGTATCTGTTTCAAGGTTAAAGTACATCTAAACTTAAAACGTCTCAGAGTAAACATTTGTAAAATCTTCGAGGTAAGATAGTTAATCATGATCATGATCATTCTCTGAATATCATCATATCTCCACCTTTTCCTTTTTTTTCATCCTTCCTAATGTTTATCTATTCTTTCATCATTTTTATTGAAATCTTCCACATATCAACACCAGTAAAGTTTTCAATTCAGCTCATTTTTATAGAGATAATCTTTCTTGGAAAACTACCCTTAGTGAGTGTTTAACCTTTTTACATTTTCAGTCCCTATTTATCAACCTTGAATCTAATCCACTAATCTATATGAAACACACACATGTTTGGGGAAACTAACAACCCATTACAATTAGAGCTTAACTCAATTACATTTCACAGATTAGTCTGTGTGTGCGTGCTTATTATCATTAAAAACCCTCGTCAGTATCACTTTCACAAGACTTTGATTTATTCTCCCTCTCAATCACTCAATCATTTGCTCACTCAATTATCTGTTTATAATTCATAAGGTTTATATTCACTCTCTTCAAATCATTTCCCTTCACTCGACTGTCATCTTTAGACTGAACATCTAAACATTGCTTTATATTTTTTCACAACTTTCTTTTGTTTCTTTCTCCTTATTATCTAGAGCATTGGATAACCATTAAATTCAAAAAGTAAAAGCAACGGATTTTTCATCGTGATTGACTCTTTGTTTACCATCAACACCACGGATCTCCATTTCATTATTAGCCACCTTAGATGTCAACACTTGGGTTAAGCTGGAAAAAGATCGTTTTTAACTTGTTGCTTTGATGATTGGTTCATTTACTCTGGAAAGGTCTATTAATATATTGTGAATCATACAATACATCAACCATTGTTTTACAATTGTTTCCACCAGTTAATGTGATTATAATCAATAGTCAACATCGTCAATATTACAAGACAAACTAAGAAGCTTATGGAATAATTTGCCAATACAAAATCACCGAATGATAACAAAGCAAAGAAAAGTCAATCTAGTGAATCTAGCTCGCAGATGATTACCAAAACTCTATTTAATCAACATCACCCTCATCAAAATCATCTTCAAAAATATCTTCAATATCTTAACATTCTAAAAACAACGCTCATTGTTTACCATCAAAGCCAAATTTTCTTTAAATGAAGTGCAATAATTGATGGTATTAATATATTGTCGATCTCACTGAAACTCCATCGTTTTATTTCAAACTTGTCATTTATAATATAATTTTCATCATTTAAAATCAGCCGCAAATTGTTTACAATGAGACCAAATGATACTACCCATAGTGAAGAAACCAAAGAATTTGTTATCATTGGGAATGGTCCATCAGCAATTACGTTAAGCTACATGTTAGCCGGTAACTGGCCTTATTACAATCCAACTGAGCCACATCCCAATTCTGAGCTACACGCACGTTTGGTTTCACCTGGTGATTCTGAATCTTATAGTGATGACACTAATCTTTCATCAGTATCTTTAATTCAACGTGATTTAGATTACTTGTCAGGTGGTCTGTCTGGTCGATCTCGTAATCCTATATCCATACTTTTTGATACCTTACAACACCCTGATGCTGATATTGGTTCTGACATTCCATCAGCTCTTTCCTGGTCATTCCATCCAGATCGTGCTATTTCTCATGTGGTTCTTGGTTCTGGTTTGCCTGGAGGATCTTGGCACAAAATGAATGATTGTAACAACACATTAACCATAAGTTTAGGAACCTGGATGCAGTTACCTAATTTGGGTATAAAACAATGGTCTTGTGATAACAAAAGAGAATCTCGTGTTCCTTTAGGTCGGGTTGCCAAGTATTATAGAGACTATGTGAGGCACCAAAACTTGGAGAAATATTTTTATAACAATAGTCAAGTTTTACGATTGGAATTTAACGAGAAGGATAATCTATGGAAAGTTTCGTATATGCAAGATAAAGTTGGCCATTTTACCATTTCTACACCGCGAGTTGTCTTAGCCACTGGGGTCAATGAAAAACCCAACAAATTAGGTATCAAGGGAGAGTCTTATCCTTTTGTCATCAAATCTCTTACCGAGTTTGAGAAAATTTTGTCCAATTTGGATCGCTCAGTCTGTAATGAGCCTGTTTTAATTGTTGGAGCTGGTCTTTCTGCTGCGGATGCTGTTATTACAGCGCGTTTTGAGGGTTTACCTGTTTATCATGCATTCCGTCGACATCCCGATGATCCAACTCTTATATTTAACCAGTTACCTGAAAATATGTACCCAGAATATCACAAGGTACACCAAAAAATGAAAGGCAAAAGTCTTTCTCCAGATTACAAAGCATTTCCAATGCACTGTATCAGTGAGATTAGATCTAATCGCACAGTTGTTCTGACCAATCTGATTGGTGCTGAATATAATGGAATCAATGATTCAACTCAAAAAACGATCAAAGTTTCTTACGTTCTCGCTTTAATTGGACGTCGGGCTAACCTTGATTTCATTTATCCCAAAAGGTTAAGAGCACAATTACTGCAACATCCAACTCAGCCATTCCACAGCAGGAACAATCCAATTGCCATTAATCCGTTCACTCATGAGTGTTTAAATGCTGAAAGACTTTACGCTATGGGACCATTGGTCGGTGATAATTTTGTTAGATTTGTCCAAGGAGGTGCATTAGCTATAGCAAATGATTATTGGTCTAAACCACTTTCTCTTGCTCCTAAAGTATCTTCTTCACCCGAAGACTTTCTTCTCAGGTGAAACACAGTCCTTAATTCGTGATTTTATCTTTACCCCTTCGAATGTCAACATTCTCATTGTAGCCTTGATTTTTTTAAAGATCAATCTCGGAAATTTATTACTGTTAGGAGCCTTTGAAATTTGTGGAAATAATTTCTTTTCTTCGCAACAAGCACCAATCAATTGGAAGGTAAAAATGAGACATCAGTCAATCAGCTTTAATCCATTTGAGAGCAATATTGTAATGTGTATATTTAGTGTTTTTCAACTCCTTTCATTGATCAAACTGAACAAGGAATAAACCTTTTCTTGTAATTGATTTTAAATCACATTGAATCTAAAATATAGTTACAAAAATTAAGGTTAACAAAACCTTGATCACTCTGACTTCAAAATTGTTTATAAAATTTTATTTAAATTTGAATAAAGATGTTTGTTTTTTTTCAGCTGTTTTATCTGTAATTGTTATGATCCTCAATCTGTTGATTGTTTATTATTGTTATATTGAAATTAAAGCACTCTAAGTATTTTTTGCAATAGATTGTCAAGAATAACAATCGATTATTATTTTATAATAAAACTGTGGAAAAAAAACATTTCTTTCTATTTATTCACAACCAAAATTCATGGATTCAAAGCATTTTATAAAATAATCATCTGAATATAAATCATTGTTCGACTTTGTTCATTCCACACTCTTGAAGTTATTCTCAATAATCACTTGCAAGAGCCACTTAAGAGATTACTGAGTTCCATGTTTCAATTTTTGATTCATTCAATGATGTTATTGATGGACATCTGGAAGTTTGACCAATACTAACCTTTCCGAGGTTCACCAAATGGCACTAACTAGGAAGGAGTAACACCAAAATGCCCTTCAAAGCGTTTAACATTGAGATTAGTAAGTTGTCAACATCAATTGTTTGATAAAATCCCTGGGTACACAAAACTTCCAAATGATATTAGATTAATTTATTTATGATGATTTCAATAAATGGAATTTCATTTTTCAGTTCAACTTTTAAGTTTGGCACGATTCAGCTTCTTTTAGCCGGCTTTAGTCAAGCTTTAACTCAGCTGACTGGAAATGGCTGGCTTTATGTCTAGTGTTTTCAGAAAATTCACAGACTATCTCTGGTAACTTCATGTTGATTCTTTTTAATTATTTGTACATTAATTGATATTTATAAATTATTTGTGGGTTACTTATTTGTTAACCTTGTCATCTACTCAAATGTCTTAAAACATTATATTTGTGAAGCAAGCTGTTTCTTATCCATTAATTCTGAACTGATGGATTTTTCCTCTATCGAGCACTGTCTCTCAATATTATTGAAGTTAACAAAATTATTGATTATGGACTAAATTGACGTTTTTTAAAGAAACTTTAACGAATTTATTGTTAAGGTTTTGTTTCAATTTTTATTTATACTACGTTGATCAATTTTGCAAGGTAAATCATTATTCTTTTATCCTACCATGTTTTGACATATTGCTATTGTGATAAGTTTCTAATACATTTTATCTATATTGTATTGACTTCCAAAATTCAGAACAAACCAAAATTAACACATAAAATTGGCCGGTAATGAATCTTCAAGAGTTACTACAGGAATTCAATCCTAGGTAAGTACCAGTACGGATTATCACGACACAAAATAAATCTCATTGATGGTATTGTTTGGTTTTGAGTTTGACGCTTCTCGAAACGATTTACAATCATTCTCGTTGTGCTTAAGAAAGAAAAGATCACATTAAGAAAACATGTGAAACAGACAGCTTGATTGATTTTGTACAAAATTACATCTGGTTATGATTAGCAACTGTTATTGTATTAGTTGAATAGCTTTAGTAAAAAGCGCTGCTCCCTTTTTACTTTTCTGTTTATTCAATACTTTTCCTGAATGAATTTATAACTTTATTTGAAGCAGACATAATCTTTTTTTTGTTTCGTGTTATTCGTCAAAACACCCGTCATTTCAATACTTTCATAGAAAACTGACTTTGTTGCTTAAACTCATTCAATTTATCTTTTTCAGTAATTTCGTGGTATACACCTGTCTCCTGTTATTTAGCATTCTATTCGCTTTTCGACTAGATGGTACCATAACTATAAGCTACTGGCTTGTTTTCATGCCTTTATGGATCTGGAAATGTTTAGTTATCCTTGGTGCGGTGATCGGCTCTTTAGTATGGATTAAAAATCCTGAATACAGGCTCAGTGAATCATCCTACATTCACTTTAAATCTATGCTAATCAGTTTATCTCTTCAATTATTACTTCTTATGTTTGAATTGCTTGTCTGTGATAAACTCGAATCTGGTAGACACATGTGGATACTGGCATTTATCCCGTTGATATTTATTTCTCTCCTTTCAACAGCCATTTGTATTTGGGCCTTCAAAAATGATCGTGCCTTTGAATTGGAAGTTTTCTGTGCAGTTAACGTGCTTCAATTTGTTTTCATTGCACTTCGTTTAGATCGTTTTATTAATTGGTCCTGGGTAGTTGTTTTTGTTCCTTTCTGGATTGTAATGTGTCTCGCCATCATTGCTGTTCTGTATGCTCTCATATTTGCTGCAATTTTATTAAGAACTCCTGAGGTTGCCATAGAGCAACGAAAAGCCAGCATACATTCAGCCATTTCTTACTCTTTAGTGGTTATTCCACTCCTCATTTTTCTGGTTCTACTTTCCAACAAATTGGACACCACGTCTGATTACGCCTTCCCACCTCTTCGACCCACTCTTCTTCACGCTCCCATCATCGATCATATTAGACCATCTTACTTTACGATTTGTATTCCTCTCTATTTTGCTTTTCTTATTCTTATTTGTCTCTCTTTCAATAGTAAGGGAAACAATCAATGTAAGTTTCTTTTTTCTAATTTTTTACGAAGAATTATTTTCTAATTTATTTTTCTTCACTTTTAGGGTGGTTTGGCATGAGGAAAGACTTTTGCAGTTTTCTTCTCTCTGTTTGTCCATGTTTAAGAGAGTATGGAAACATTTCCTTCAATAAACAAAACAATAGTTTAAGTAGTCCCCATGGCAGTCAGAGTGCAATTGAATCTGATCAAGTTTCTGCTGGCAATCCTGCGACTGGTTCCAGTGAAAAGAGTCGATTCAAAATGAACCATAAGAAAATAATGATGCCGATTATGACACTTGAATCGCCTGATTAATTAAATTAAATAATTATTTATTTCATAAACTTTCCGTCGAGTATTGAAGGATCTGCTGTAATACTGACTGAAATAATGATGAGCGACAAATACGAAAACAAGAGGCAATGTTTTGATGTCTAGACTGAACTAACTTCATCTATTGGTTTTAATGGAAAGATAATGTATGGAATATTAACTAACATCGAGACGGACAAATCGCAAAAATGTATCAACTGGTCACCATGTTTATCTTCATTTTCATTAACAATACCAACCCTTTGTACCTCATTTTATGCAAATGGTCTGCTTGTAAATTTATTTTGACTTGGACTACACTAAATATCCAAATCAAATCATTTAGATTATGTTGTATGCATAAACACAATACCCATCTATTCAAGGTTACACACAAATTATAACTTAATAAACAATGAACATCAATAACATCAATACATGTAACATTCATCATTTGAAAATTGTAAAAATTATCCGACTCTTTGTTTCCCAGTCTCACAAACAAGAGTATCAAATTTACTGTCTCAGTTCATCCTTTAAACTTGACTATTAGCTAATTATTAGCTTTAATTTTGAAAGATTGTCAAGTAATTAAAGTATCATTTGCAAACGAATTGAAAAATAGTATTACAATAAAACACTTTTGGCGTAACTGATAACATGGATGGTAAAAGTAAGCGTATAAAATAAACTTTTGTCACGGTCATGAAATCCCGATATAGTGAATTGAGATGAAACAAAAGTGAATTTGTTTAAACACGATTTAAAAGAGTTTAATTCAGTGATGGAAAATCAAGATCAATGTTGAATGAAACAATACAAAGCATGAAATGATCAAGTTATTTAAATCTTATTATAAGAAAAGATGGAAATAAAGTAACTTTTACTCAATCATTTAAATGTTTACTTATGTATAAAAATGGAAAATTAACTTAATTGAACAATAATAATCAAATGAACAACTGATAAATACAATTCATTCAGCCTTTTCGTTGTTAGTACATTAAAAGCGCACTAGATGGCAAGGTATCCAGTTATCTTGCTTCTTGCTCAACCCATCTGGGTTTAACTAAAGCTTTTTGTTGCTTTCAGTAAAAGATCATTGTACTTTAATTTTCCTCTCTCACTTCTTCCTTTAATTGTATTCATTTTAGGTATGTTATGTTTTAAAATGTGTTTACTCATTAATCTATGTATCTATCATTATGGATAACGTTATGTCAATCAATTAATTGGTCATTTCTTTCTTTAAATTAGTAGCATAATTTTATGGGCCACCAAAGTGTGAGGATGTGTTCATCTTAAATGTGTAAATATCTGTTAACCACCATTCCAGGGCCCTGACCTGACTCCTTGTATCTCCATTTTTCTGGCTTCATTATCAGTGGATTAACCTTTGCTTTACCATAACTTGTAATTAATTCCATCATTCCATTATGTGATTAACCATACTTTGGTGTTTATCAGTTATTGTTTACTTTGGTTTCATCTATCGTCATCTAACACACAAGTTGCTCATCTAGAAAAGATTTAAAGTCTTTTCTTTTCCATACTGTTTATCCTTTTTTCCTCTATTTATTAATGATATCTATTGAAGTTTCAAGCCACTTCCTGTTACAAAAATAATGAATCCTCTCGTTAGTTTAACGATTTGGTTTTTAATTGGCACAACAGTCATAAAATATAGCGTTAGCCGTGAGTTGAGTGATGAAATTGATTCTATTGGGTCAAGTGATGATAAGTCAGCAGAGGAGGACAATCTAGATCAACCATGGCTTCATATCAATTTCATTTCGCCCAAATTTGAAGTATCTCAAGCAAAATGGTGGTTTGACAATTCCATTGGTTTCCATGCTAAAGGAATGGAACATCTGTATCTTTTAACGCAATTGTTAATGAATTGGATTCAGCCACCAGGAATGCCTCCAGGGTTCATTAAAGAGGAACTTTTTGATAATCCTGTGGAACATGTTAAGGAGAACCAGTTAAAGGTGAGAAGCAATTAAGTAAACAACATTTTGGCAAACAATTGATCATCTCTTGATGTGTGTACCCTTTTATTACCCGTTGAGATTACATCAGTCTTACATCAGCCATCGTTAGATATTGGTCACTCATGATTGTCTTAATAGCACACTTATTCACTATACTCTTAATAATCATTATTGACCTTGACCGTAAACAAAAAGGTTTAATATAATGATTTCGATTGATCATTGAACAATCATGAAATTTTTATCATTCAAATCAAAGAGGTGTTTGCTCAAGTGATGCATCAATTGTTTTCAAACTGTAACATTCAAGTACACCTTTTACTTGCACTCAATTCTTACCTATGCTGACCATATTCTAATTTCATTTCTTTTCCTTCTTTTTCAGCTTTTCACTCATTTTTGGGGTATAATACTCACCTCGACCATAGCAATATGTTTGTCTATCATTGTGCCATTACTAGGTTTTTTACTATGCTGCTGTTGCTGTAAAATATCATCAAGCAATCAACGTGCCAAACACACTCACAACCGAGACCCAGTTCTGTATATCACCTCATCTTCATCGAGCGCTGGTTCTCCAGGTCATCAAGCAAAGAAAAAGAAACCCAAGTATAAGATTGAGAAAGGATTAGATTCATGTTCAAGATCAATCTGTAGTATTACACTTTTCATAATCCTTTTGTTGGTATCTTTTTTTGTGATCTGCGCCTTTGTTACAAACGAATATGTTCACAACGGTGTTAACCAATTACCCCGAACACTCAACCAAAGTTTGGATGACATTAAATTGTACTTGAATAAGACACAATTTGAAGTCAACACTCTTCTACGAACAAATTTTCGCCAACTCGAACAAGAATTGGACAATAGTCTAGATAGAAGTGGTATAATTGTTAAAAATCGCTTAGCTCAACACACAAAGGCCATCTCATTGGAAAACTTGACCGCAATTGTTTCAAGTGAGTTAAACTGATCCTTTTCACACAATTCAAAGCAATTTTTATTTACACCCAAATTGTTGCTTTAATTTTCATCAATTCATAACACGTTTTTATTACAGTTAACCAGACTCTTAAATTATACCAGATTATTGATAATCACGTTCAAATTGATCAAACTTGTACCCAACTTTGAAACAATTTTTGCTTTTTCATTCACATTTGATTCTCAAGTTCATGGATAGTCTCATTCATTTATTCATGTTTATTTACTTTCCACCCTTTTCTTCTTCTTTCATCATTATCTCTTATTGCTTTTAATTTAAGTAAATTTGATTACCCTGGTTCATGGATGATTTAAGATTACCTTCTCAATTTACAGTTTCTTCTTAAACTTTAAATAATTAACTTGTTCCCAGGCAACTTTTTACTTCTGGTTTTTGTTTTCTTGGTTGTTGACTTCAGGATTGTATATTTAAATTCAAAAGCAACCATTTCTATCATGAAATATGAAAAAACACATTTTCTGTTTCATTCTTTCCCCTCTTCAAAACCTTCTGTTATTATATTTTCAGAAACAGTTTCCGTCAACTTTTTGCAAATGACAATTCATTTTGATGAGTATATCTTTTGTTACTAACTGTTTATCTTCCAACTTAAATTACTAATCAAACAAAATTGTCATAAAGCTTCATTATTAGTTGTCTATTTTAGGTAAAAAAGTAGCAACAAAGTTTGCGATAAAAAGCTAATTTCATGTGTTTTCATTCTGTTTGCCTTATAAGATCATCTGTATCCAAAACAATTACATTGTCATTGATTGCTTTTCGTTCACTTTTCAATTGTCCATAAATAATTTATTATCTATCAAAGTTTATACAATTTGATTCGATTAAATTACCTCTGTCACAATTATTTGGTAACCTTTCCGTTGAATCACTTATTTTCAATACCTGATATCAAATTATTTACCTATCAAATTTCTGAGAAAATGTTGCACCTAAGTTTGTTCCATTGAAAAATAGTTCGATTTATTTTAGCACTTTTCATCCAATCTATATTGAACCTATTGAGAGATTGTTTCCGAAAACGTTTAAGCACAATTTTTAAAGTAATCCAACAAGAGCCCGTGTAACTCCTTATGACCACTAACTGCACCTTCACACTTAAGTTTAGCCTTTTTCCATTCCTCAACTGTTTTATCGCCAATCAAATTTTTCTCCTTCATTCCACCCTGTTAAAGAGTAAAAACAAGAATTACAAAAAAATCAAATTTAGACGATTGAAGCAAGAATTTCAATTCTAAATTCAACTCAATTTTACGTGTAAATACTTGAAGGTTAAAATATCAAATTGCTTAACCATTTATCAATGATAATTTAAAAGTTGAAAAGGATTGCAATTGAAGTTGATTCAAAGCATTGAAAGCTTTTGTTAGTTTCTTAACTAAATTGGTTCAAATTTTGTAACCATTGATAGTTGGCCATTGATAATTTTAACCCTGATTTATCATGAACTTACCGTTGTTTCAAGAATGAGGCATTCTACGATTTTGTATATTTCGACGAATCCAGGGTTATTACAACAAGCCATTGCTTTTCTCATGATATCCTTGGCCTTTGCTTCGTCTTGAGCACATTGGCTAAAGTCATCGAAGGTGTTTTTTTCACACATTGGTTTACCATCCTGCAGTTTAGCCAAACAAGTCGCAAAAATTGATAGCAATCCTTCAGACAATTCGGTTTTCTAGATAATTAGATAATCACAATTAGAAACAAATAACCTTTTCACTAAAAAAATAATTTTTACAAACCTCTTTACAATCCAACAAGCTTGCAATTTTATCCAACAATGGTTTACCTCCTTTTTCAATTGCAGCCTTGATATCAGCTTGATTTACCTTCAACTTACAATTACCTTTGGACAAAATAAGATGATCAGTTGTTGAATTGATTAATTATTGATTTACATACCACACATGTCTTTGTATGTAATTCCACCAGCTTTCTTGATTGGATTCATTTTACTCATTCCTGCCATACAATTACCTTCAACGGTAACTGCATATAAGGCTAGAGTAATCACAATTAAACCAATGGTTCCATATACGTTGAGAGTCATTTTTTCAAAATTAATTTAACAACAGAGCAAAAATAAAACTTGTTTAGATTGTCATCAATAATCCAATTGAAACTGTTTTATAATCAACTTTGCACTTAAAATTGTCCAAAGTCACTATCAGTCTGATCAGACTTTCAAATTGAACTGATTCAAATTTCTCATTGGAAAATCATATTTTATACTTAAATTTGAATCGCTTTCTTTCACCTCAATTTACCTCCCATTATTATTTGTTGACACAGTCACCAGAATGGTCCAAAAAATAATATTTATAATGACTTGTGTACCAAAAGGATTTTTAATATTATTTATTGTGCAAAAATGTTTAATAATACAAATGGATATTTAACTCTTGTCCATTAGTTACTCGGTTAGTTGATCATCAACTGTAAACCAAGGTTCCATCTGAATCAATATTGAACTTAGATTATTACTCATGAGGGAAACATTTCCATAATTTTTCTCCAATCTTTTCCTTGTTTGCATATATTTCAAATGATTGCGATTTTTTCAGTTCAACCTTACATTTTGTTCCAATCAATTTCCAATCAATGAGCTCATCAAACCACCTTGATTTGTTTGCTCTTCAATTCAAATCTTCATTTGCAATTGTAGTCAAACATTAATCTGAATTAATCTCTTTTGATTAGTCGTTTTTATGTAAACTTGATAATTCATTTTTTTGTTGCTCTTTTCAGTCTCTTCATTAGGTTGTAATGAACGTCATAAAGATGTACTTAATTGTCATCAAATGCAAAAGACTTTTTGTTCATTCATTTGATGAAGAAAAATGAATCATTTAAAATTTGGTTTTACCGCTTTAATTGTTGACATTTTTTTCACCATTCAAATAATGAACAAATGATCATTTTTTAAGTCAGGAAATTTAGAAATGAAAACTTGATGCAATTGAATGTTGACCCATAATTTATCCTCAGCTTTCTATTGAACAACGATGTTCCCTTTCTGTTAATTTTGAACTACTTTTTACTCTTAATTGTTGCAGTTACATTATTTTCAGTCTATTTTATCAACAAAAAATTGCTGTAATATTTTATCTGCAATAACTTTCAATTGATTGTTTTTATTTGCACGAAACTCAGGTTGAACTCATCTTTGTTACCTACAGTTCAATAATTGTAGGCATTGGCAACCTGTTCAATTTGCTGTTAATTGAGTTTATCAATTGTTCTGAGTTTTGGCTGTTTCATGAAAACAACTGTTGAGCAATTTGAGTAAAACAACTTCTCACAAACTGTAAAAGACTTTCAAGAAAAATCAAATCCTTGCAATGATAAATGATTGTACCAAATCAATGCCGACTAAAATGACCAACTAAACTCAGCCCTGAAATCTGAATTTCTTCTGAATTCTATCTATTTTTTGGTGTTTCAATTTCTTTAATATCTAAATTAGATATTTGAAATCAAAAATAATTTCTGTAATAATCTGACTTGATTTAGTGGTGAAGAACAAGTGAAAAAAAGAGAAATAAATTGAATTAAGCTTGATTTTCTGATTAATTGATTTAGTTCTGAATGTCCTGAAACTTGATGCAATTAGTCACTTCTGACCCACTAGTGTTTCCAATGAATAACCTAAATGATCTGAAAAAACTGTTGAAGGTAAAAAAATTGGTTCACTTGTTTACTTGATTTTACTGTGTCTCTGTCCTCTTCATCTGACTAAATTAAGCGTTGAAATGTAGTTTTCATTGTTTCTTATTTCAATTTCGTGTATTCATTTTTTTCTCTACTCATATTTTCTCAAGTTGTTACACTGGTTCTTGATTGTTGACTCAACTGTCAGACTTTCTGGTTTCAGATTCCTCTATTTAATCATCATCATTATCATCTTGCTTTTCCTCCTCCACCTCCTTCAAGTTCAATTGTAACTTACACCAAGAAACTAACTCACCAGCACTTCTAGTCAATCTGTCAACTCTGTAACAAAATGGTTACTTTGTACTTTCTTGCTTTTTTTGCAAGATAAGAAGCTTCTTCTCAACAGGATTATCATCAATCTCTAGAACCGTTGAAAATTCATCACTTGAATAAATTCATCCTTGATTCCCTCCTTCATCCTTTTGCACCATCCAATGTCATGTTTCTTGAAAACCCAATTTCGGTCAAAAAAAGAGTTACCTTCAAATGATAGTCGACCTGTTAATGCATGAGTTTCAAAGATTAATTCATTGTCCAATCCGAAAAAAAATGTTATTACAAATAATGATCTGAGTAACCTCTTAAAATTAATCTTGATTTTTTTTCGTTCCGCACGAAAACTTCCGGTCAAACTTATGCAAAATAATTTCTTTCTTGCATAAACCTTTCATTTCTTGAATTACTTGTAGCTTTAAAGGAACCTTGCGTTGAATATGCTTTTTTCAATGCTTATCATAATGTCTTTTACTGGATCGTTTGTTTTTCCTCTTAATAATTTCTCTAAATTTCCTTCCTTCTATTTAACTCATCATGCTTTTTTCGCCTCTAAAAAATTCTCATGTCGTTTGCATGGAAATATTTTCTACAAAACATTCTGACCATCCTTTTGTCTCGTTTGTCCTCTTTTCATTATGTCAAACGGCTTTACACCTTAATTGACTTTCTTAACCTTTCAATGGTCTGACTCTGAATTCATTTTTTGTTCATCGTGTTTGCTCATTGTAAATGTATCTTTTCATCTGACAATTTTTACAATCTTTTCAATTTCACTTTTAATTGTGCTAACATGAAATGGTTATCTATTGATTTTTATATTTTCACTATTTTCTTCCTCTTCCTACAATTTTTTTGTAAAAAATGTTTGTTTCAAAATTTCATCCTTTTCCAAGATTTCCTCGTTTCCACGATAATCAAGGTTTACAATCAATCAGTCATTTCTGTGTTTATTTCACATAATTACTGAATCTGTTACTAGACTCGGAGTTGCTTGTTTAAAATGAATCTGTTGAAACTGATTAGCAATAAAAATTATTAATTTCAATTTACACTTCCACCAAATTAACATCAGTTTCCTGTTTCACCAATTTCAACTCAATCTGCGTTTTTGAAGTCTTTATTTTTCAGCTAATAGCTAATCATTGGATGAATTTTAATCATTAGCTAAATATCTTTCAAAACAAACTCTGTTTTTTTTCCTAAACGAATGGTTGGAGTCCTTTGACTGTAAAAATCTTTGTGATTAACATGATTGATTATCAATTGACTATTTTGATCTTCTTGAATTTTGAATGTCTATCCTGCAAGGTTGTCTTTAGATTTAAAATTCTGACCCTGAAAAGACTGAATGAATGAGTCAACTCTTCTCCTTGATTCTCATATGTTTTAAACTAACAATCATGATGTTGGTGTGAACATTTTAAAATCTGAATGGTTCACTGAATCTTTTGTTGACAATAAATGAATGTGAAAAAAAGATTGTTGATTCAAATCACAATTTAAAGGTAGTCAAGAGTCATCTGTTGTCTATTTAATCAACTTATAAGGTTTAAGCAAATCTTGAGAGCATTTTATGTCATTCAATCACAATTAACTTGGATATTGATAATTGTAATAAATGATCGAGTCTATTCATCTTGAATTAAGCTGCATTACCGTCAAAATAAACAGAATTGCTCTTCAATTGATTGACATAATCATCTCACAAAATCAAATACAAATAACAACAATTAATCTTTCATCCAAAATCTATCGTCTATTTATTTATCTAAGATTTGTTTATCATTGATGGCTGAACTCTTGTGTTGAATTGTGTTCAATTTTCAGAGGAAACTAAACCAATGTAAACCTCAAGCTTTAATTGATTTAAATAGCTTTCAAGTGAAAAATGCTCGTCTATTTCATGAAGCAATTTATAACTCTGTTTATTACAATAATAATGGGTTATGGAAAACAATGTTTATTTTTTTCATGGTGATGAACAGCACTTTTCATGCAAATACAGTTGAACCTGGTACTTGGGTGCGCCTCTAGCTCTATCAAACCCCTTGTTGAGCTCATTATCAACCTTTTCATTTGCCTGGGCGTTCAATTCATTTCTGCTTCTCTTTTAGCCAATCTTTAGCCCTTCACTGAACAGTCTTTCATAATTATCTGCCAACATAGACTCAAGTTGCTTGTTCACCAAGTGCTATTCAATTTTACACTTTTCTTCATCAACTTTTATCTTCCAAATAATCTGTTGAACTTTTATTCCATTGTGTGAAGCATGGAGGAAGAAAGAGTTGTTAAGTTTGAAAAATTTCTCTTCACCTTTTTTATTGTCTCGCAACAATAAATCATTCTTTTCAATCAATGAATTGCCAATAATTCATTTCACATCTCAGTTTGACCATTAATTTGATATGTTGATTTCCTATTAGAGTTCAGAGGTTTCAGAATCCTGGCCTTGTTCCTGGCCTCAACTCAGATCAATTCAATAATAAATGAAAGCATTGAAAAAAGGTTGTAAGTTTGTTTTTAGCATTGGCATCGAGAAAATTGATAGCTTGATATTGAGACTTGCTATTGATTGAAGAGTGAAATCAAATAATCAAATGTCTTTAATTGAAACAATCGTAATCTTAAACGCGTGATTCTTGTATCCATTATACTGTTACTTTTCATCTAACTTTATACAGCCATTCATGGTCCAGATTAATCCATTGACCTTTTTAAATGTTTGTCAACTTTTCACTCTCTCTACACAAACAGTTGAAAATCAATGTTTAACCCTTTAAATAATTACAAATATCAAGCTTGAATGATGGCATTTACCTTTAGCTTGACTTCAAATGTGAATGAAAAAATGAATCAAATCAATAATTTTAAAAAATGGTTTCTTGAAAAAGCTAAATTTATCCTTGAATCTTGCTCTATCAATTTTCAATTTAATTTAATTTCTTTTCATCTCCTTCTCCGATCAATTTCATTCACAAGACTTTCTTTAATTATGATCGATATCAATTACTTTTGGCAATAACATTTTTTTATTCATCTTTTACTTTCAGAATTGGATGACATTCATCGCGATTTAACGGAACTGTCTGATCATATGGCGGTTTTCAAGAATGATGTTCAACGAATTGCTGTTGGATTGGAAAACAAGCGAAAAGTAAGAAGTTAATTGCAATCAATTTATCTGATTAAACTGAACATGATCATTTGACTGTCATTTTATTAGCCAATTGTCTTTTTTGTTAATTTCATTGTTTCCTTCACAAATTCAATTTTAATGACTATTTTATCCAATCATTTATAATAACAACCTACACAAAGCTAATCAAACTTCCGATTTCCACATTGATTTATACAAAATTCAGTGACCTCAATGTTAACTGTGATTTTTTTACCAATTCAATGTTCTTTCATATCAATAATCATCAATTTATTGAAACCTATTGATTGACACTCGTCATTAGTTAACCATTATTTCTCGTTACTCAACTTGACAATAAACAATCAGGATCAATTAAGATTATAACTACTGTCTGATATATAACTTTATTATATTGAACTTAAAAGTAACAGAAAAAAACAAATCAAACCTCAATCAGATAAAGAGTTATAATTTACAAAAACAGTTTTCTGCTAATAGTCAATGGCAATTAAAGCTGTTAATAGTTGTTCTTGAAAAGGATAGGTTTTTTTGCCTTCAAATGAATTATTCTCGTTTTACCTCTTTTCTGACCTGATCTGATCTTTGCGGATGATGTTGTTTTGACGATCATCTTGATGGTAGTTAATGATAGCACTCAGAATCATCAGTTAATGAGTTGTGCCTTAAGTCATTATAACTGTAATTTGGACTCTTCTTTCTTTACCTTCAATTGATCATGTACAGTAGTTCAACAAGTTTTCTGTCTTTTCTTCTTTTTTGTATCTCTTTCTAACTTTACCTTCTTTTGTTCAATTACAGAGTCTTGAAAATGTGCTGAAAAACTGTCGTGATCCCATTTGCATTGAGTTGGAGCAAAAGTACAGAAATAAATTATCGCGATTCCAAATCTCAGCTAAATTGAATAATCTTCCTGATTTGTCTCCGGTTATATCAAATATCTCACAACTTCTCAAAGCTGGAATTGTAAATGAAGTACTTAAAGGGAAAAGCTCTTTTGACCGTATTAGCTTTGAAATTCAACAAGCCGTCAATGGTACAATACCTGAAATTAAGAAGCAGATTCGTTTAGTGGGACGCGATTTATCTTCCACTGCCGATGACATTAACAATCTTCTTAATTTGCCAGATGAAGATATTGAAAATGGTAAACACAATATTGATGTTGGCTCACAGTTTCTCATTAAATATGATGTTTATCGTAATCTTGGCTGCCTTGGAGGAACAACACTTGTTTTCACCATTATGTTGGCCTATTCAATTGGTTTACTATGCGGTGTCTGTAAAAAACAACCCACTTACCATGAATATCGTAGCCGTCGGGTTAAACCTCCCACCTCTTGTCCTTTCCGTTTTGGAATCTGTCATGTTTTCCTGCTTTTTGCCATTTTAATGCTAGCTACTATAATTTTTTTCATTACTGGATCGGTAGTTGATAGAGTTGGCTGTTATTATCTTGAACATCCTGAAGAACCACAAACCCGTCAATTGATGGCTATTTTACAGAAAAAACTAGACGATGGAACAATTAGTAAATCGATTGATCAAGTTGCCTTGATCAGAGGAATTAAACCCAACATTGCTGATGTTATCGCACGTTGTCATCAAAATTCCAGCTTATACAATGTTTTACAACCAAATAAATACAATTCCATCCAATTGCCCAATAATAAGATTATCGCTGGTTTTAATTTAAGTAATGTACTTGAATTTAAGGGCAGATACAAGATTGAAGCTCGATTAAGGCGTCTTCTTGATAATGTTAACTTTGACCCATCTTCAATTGTTATACTCACACACAAAGCCACCTCTTTACTGGAAAGGTTAAAAGACAGCAATCTAGATGACCTCAATTTTTCATCTTTTTCCAACTTAATGTATCAAAAGATTACCCCCTTGGATTTGCATAATGTTTCAATTGAGCTTAAGGCAGAGGCCAAAAAACTACCGACATCACAAATAAGTTATAGCGCAGAGCTGGCAGATATTGGCATCATATTGGATGGTTATCATAATCAGCTGAAAGAAGTTCAGGATTCGTTATCCAAGTTGAATAGAGCAGCTCAAAAAATTAAAGACAAATCTTCATATGGAAGCCGAGGAATTCGAGATGCTCTTACAATCCTAATAAAGCAAGCTAAGAGTGCACAATACTTAATTGAAAAGAATGGTAAAAATGCTATTAAAGAAGATGCTGAACACTTTATTAATGATTTAGGAGCATTGATTGACCAGTATGCTCAGCATGTGTTTGATCAGGTTAGTATCAAACATAATTTTGTTTTTCAATCATTTATTTATTCCATAATTTGATAAATCTAATTTTTTGTCATCTTAGGTTGAAAGTCAACTTGGTCGATGTGAACCTGTAAGTCGAGCCATTAACGCAACAACAATTGCTATTTGTAAAGAGATTGTCCTTCCATATGTAAGTTAATTTTTTCATGTCATTTCTTAAACGACTAGTGATTAATAATTCTTGTTTTATTTTCATTGCTATTAATAGAATGGATACTGGTTTAGTATGGGATCAGCAATTCTTTTATTATTACCTGCCACTCTAAGTGCGTCAATTTTGGCTAATTTATTTCGCAAATTAAAACGACCCAAAGCTCGTCGTCATCTCGATTTAGACGCGTAAGTGGAGCCAAAAATTTGCCATTAATTTACTAATATTTATATCCTTTTTGACTCATATTAATGACTTTCTTTTTTTCATTTAGTGATGTGACTTTGGAAAATTTTGAAGAAGATGACATTCCCTTGGCACAGTATGTATTAAAAATTGAACAGCTAATCGTTGAAATTTAATCTTAATTCTTGACATGTTTAATAATTAATTTTCTACTCTTTTGTCTACAGAGTCGTAAAACAAACCGATATACCTTATGAAGCTAGACGCAACCCACCAATGTATCAAAACTCATCTGCACCTAGTGCACCACACTCTGAAGAAAACTGGATAACCTCAGCAACTTCCCCACCTCATATGTATACTCGTCCTCCACCTTACAATTTCAACAACTAAATTGAACCAAACTAACTTGTAGAGTTCAAAAACGATACAAAATCGCTACCAAATTATCGCCAATCTTTCACCTTTTCTCTTTATTCCATTTACTTTCTTTTATCTATAAATTCATTTTAACTCATTCTGACTCTCATTTCATTATCACTCTACTTTTGTTTGATTTAATCCATTATCTTCATTTCTGTATTACTTCTATTCATAATTTTATTTCTTAATTCAAATTCAAAACAAATCTTCGATGAAAGTTGTGGAAAATGAATAAAAAATACAACTTTGAGTGAAATGATAAATTAGTCAACTCTTTTATTTTTTCATCAGCACCGTTTATTCATAATAAGCCTTGGTATTAACATAAAAATCGAAAATGAAGACTTAAATGTAAAATTAAACTTTGGATATTTTCAATTCTTCTATTGGTAGATTATCTTGTCCATTCTGGTTTGATAAATAACTCCAAAGGATCTGAGGAATCCTGTTTCCATTACCAATCGGTATTCTGTCGTCATTATCTCGATCTTCCTCAGGTTTCACTTTGCTTTTAAGAAGACGTTTTTTTCGTTGATTTTTACCTTTCTTCTTTTTCATAAAATGTTTCTTCAACAAATTTTCATTATTCTTAAATCTTGCTTTCCAATCCTTCCTCTTGAAGAAATTAAATTTAGGTTTGGAATCTTTCGACTCATCTTTATGGTATACATTTTTCCAACCGTGTTTTTTGTGGCCACCGTCTTCAATCCAACCAATTTCAGTCAACTCACCATTTCCACCTCTGATTATTTTTTTAATCAAAGAAGTTCCTGGTTTGGAAGACTCAATGGATCCAATGTTTTCATTATCGTCATCACTATCATCATTGTTGTACTTATTAACTTCATTTGTTTTACCCAGACTCTTAAAGATTGAACCAGCATCTTTACCATCGACATCTCGGTAAATCAAAATTGCTCCTTTGGGAAGACCATCTTTCATTTGGACAATTTTAAACCCGCCATTTCCACTTTGGCCATTAGAATCAATTTCTTCAGATTCTTCATCTCGCACTTGAAACGATTGTAATATTTGTTTGGCAATTGTCTTTCCCACCTCATCTTGCAATGGTATCATTTGTTGAACATTATCATCTTGAAAAAAACTGGCTGAACCAACTGTTGACAAATCAGCTGCCGATATTGGATGGCTTAATAACTTGGAATCAAATATGTAACTGACTGGAGATTCCGGGACAAAAGGTCCATTCTGGTGGCCATTGGTGATGAATTGAGTTGCTATTATTCCTTCTGAAAATTGGTATTTGGAGTAACTTAAGGCTAGAAAGACGAACACGAATTTCGGAAAAATTGACTGGTCAAGAGAAGAGACAAAAGTTATAATCACAAACTATTCACTTATGGCTTTCTCAGATTCACAGATGGCTTACCTTTTGGATGTAGACTATCAAATCTGAACAATCCATCTTTAATCGCGAGTTTTTCACTTACAGTTTTGTTAATGTTAAATATCACATTTGAACATCTTAAATTTTCAACTGAATTTGGTTAGGTGTTTTGATAAAATGACAGCAATTTACTCATCAACTCGTTACTTATTCAAGTTTTTATTCCCTTTTCTACTCTTTTCTGAATTGTAAATAATCTAAGGCAACAGGTCAACTCAGACTTTCATCTTCATTTGATTGTCATTATTAGAAAACAATTAATGACTAAATACACGAATTAAGGCTTTAAATCATTAAATGTTGGATATAATGGCGCTTTTGGCAAAAAAAGTCAAAAAAGAACAATGATTTTGTTTATATAAAATCTGTTCATCTATACAATTGAATTAGTTTGAATAAACAAAGAGTTTTCAAATGGCGCTTAAACAGCGAAAGACATAAACGGAAACGACCCAAAAGTTGAATTAAGCATCTTTTAATCTAATTTGTTATTTTTTGTCTGAATTTGGTTCTACAATTGTTCTTGTGTCCATTTTACAATTTTAGTTCGTATTAAGTCAAAATGAAGTAGAGTACAACTAATTATCTGATAAACTACACACATAATCTCGATTCTTTTTTATCTGGAAAATAATCGATCCTAGACGATGAATGTGACATCAGCGAAAGTTCAATGCAACATGGATAAAAATCTCAGATTTCCTAGAAGTTGCAGAGAGAAAATTCAGTCAAATACTAGCGAAAGTTGTTGATGTAATCTGTATGTGCTCAAATGAGTGATTTGTAAAACTTACCGTAACTATTTCTTGTCGGCAGCTGTAGAATCCACTGCGATTTCTTCTTTATAGTTTGAATTCTCGAGCAAACACTCAACTTTTTCAAAAAAAGAATGCAGAAAAAACTTTTCTTCGTTGGAAAGTTGACTATTTTGCACTATCAATTTGGCTTCGATAAGATCATAGACTAAAGACATTTTCTATGATAATTTAATATATCTAAATGTAAAAAATATACAAAAATGCACAATAGAAAAATATTAGAGTATTTTCTATACTCTTGATAAAAACAGGAAAACAGGCGAAATTATTGTTACTTTATGCGTATTTTCATAGAAATCAAACAGTGAACTGCTGAAATATTTGCTTGCAACCATCAATTGCGCAAAATGTTAGAAAATTCTGAACATGCCTCAAACGTGTGAATTTTCAAACGATTTGTTGTATAAAGTATGATCTATGCACTAGAATGTAATAATCAACCATAACTGTGCGTTTTATAGCAGTTAGTAGTCAATCCTATTATTATTTAGTTACTTTATTTTTGTTAAGTCTAACTTTGTGGCAATAACTAATAAGCATCTTAACTTTAATGGCTTTTAATGTTTCATCATAGATCAATTAAATTTTCTTGCCAATGAAAATTTATAGGTGATGCAGCATAATTAGTTTATAGAGAAAGGATAAATCAACTTCACTAATTATCCGATTGCTGGCTTGCAGAATGCCAATATATACACCTTATTCGACACCAAATATTTTCTCGTTTAAGTTTCTCATAGTGTTTAAAGAGATTATGTAATAATGGAATAAACCATCATGTTCAAGTTTATAACAATGGAGGATGTGTAAAGCTATAAAAAAATCAAAAGTGTAAATTGATTATTGATTAATATTTCCGTAATCAACTCATTAATAGATTAATCATTAGCAATATTCTCCCAATCTAACTTTAAATCAGTTTTAACAATAAATTTAGGTAGTCAAAGGTTTATCTAATCGGTTGGATCTTTCACAGCTTCCGAGTTAATTAATAATTAACCATTTAAAACCTGAAAATATATTTCTACTTTGATTTTTTATCTTAACTTAGGTTAATAAGCCAATAATTGCCGTATCTAAAAATGTTTTAAACTAACAATTTGAATATTACATGACATAGATTATGTTTACCGATTATGAAAAATATCAATTTTTGCAAATTTTTAATCTGGAAAAAGGCTTGCTAAGACTACATTGTTAGCTCAAAGCGCGTTGAATGATTGAATCAATAAAAGCACAATAATCCCGAGACAATTTATAAATTAAGATGATCATAAACTGCTGTTTTAACT